ACAAAGATAATGGGTCTGTGACCCGATGATTGACTGTTGGATGATATTTGTTTTCAAACCAGTCCACAAAGCTGCTATCACAAGGGTCCTTCTTTGGAATGTCCTTGCGATCACGGATGTGTATCCAATGAAGCTCAACTGCATTTATTTCTGGTGGCAGATCAATTAAATGTTGGCCTGGTTCAACTATATCATGAACAGCATTGAAGTGTTCATTTACAAACATGAAAGTATTGTCCACCCATGTTAAAGGTGTATTGCAATCAGTGCATTTGTGAAGAGGTCAGTGAGGCACCAGTTCTACTGGTCCACTCGTTGCTGCTCCATTCCATTTGGATCCCCTTCACTTATTACGAAGGTATATCTGTGGGCTAACATTGATGTCCTCATTAGGTATCTATATGTCACCTAAGTATGCTTGCAGGGGATGTCCTCTGTGGAGTGTATGCACACGCAAGAATGACTTTTGCATAAAGCAGTCAATCTGTAGTTTAATTGGCAGTAAGCCTGCCATCATGTCCAAAGCACCAATAGGTGTTGATTTAAAGCCACCTGTGATCCAACAGGCAGCTCGTGATTGTGTGTGCTGCAATTCATTAGCTACACCTTTTTTGCTTTTCCATTTTGGATGGTACCACAGTTGAGCACCATAGCACATGACTGGCACTACATTTGTAATGTATAGCCTTCATTTATCCTGTGGAGACATACCCCAAACTGAGTTACACAGCATGCACAGTGAGTTAACAGTGCTGCATGCTTTGGTGGCATAATATCGCATATGTTCTTTAAAGGTGAGCTTTGGATCAAGGTAAAAACCTAAGTATTGCACAATTGCCTTTGGCCAAAGAAGAAATTCTGTGCCTGGGGCATAAATTTTTACAGGTGGGCCCAAAGAATTATCACCTATCAATTGACGCCATGGTTTCCTGCTGTTGCAGAAGTACATCAATTCAGTTTTGTCCGCTTCAATGCCCAGATCAAATCTAGCCAAAGTGCAGTTTAAAATTTCAGCAATTAAGGTCAGCTTCTCAGAGTTGACCTCAGTCATAGTGCAGTGTGCTGGCACTTCAGTGTTACATGAGAACACATAAATGAACCCATCATCCACAAAAAATTGGAGAGTCACCCCTGAAATATGCTCATTTATTTTGTGCTCAGCTATTTTTAATAGCCGGTGCAATATACAGGTTGGCAAGTGCTGGTGACAATGCTGACCCTTGTTGCACACCTATGGTAAATGCAGCTGGAGGTGTTTCTATTCCATTGAATAAGAACATAGTTTCTCTGTCCGTAAGATAATCACGGAAAAAGTTAACTACTGTTTCATGAAATCCCTGTTTCTCTAAGACACAAAGGAGGAGGTCATGATTAATTGAAGGAAAAAACTGTGCAACATCTACAAGGAGTGCTGCTGAGTCCATTTCTTAATTCCAACATTCTTTAATACTATGAACAAAGTGCCATA